GTGATGTTTTTAGTTATTTGATGCAATTGAACAATGTCTTTACATGGATATTTATATTTTTGAGTATATATTGAAGTTTTTTATATCTGTTATATGTATAGCTGTCTTCTGGAAGTGTTTTTGTTTATGTTTGTAGGTGTGGAAATGCAATTGTTGGCTGGGAAGGATTTTTTTTTTGTCAATGCTACAGGTCTCTGACGGATTTTGCATCGGAAATATGATGGAAATGACGATACAACAAATCAGTACAATCATGTTGTCGTTTATTTAGATGCTGGAAATTTCTGGCGCATTTTACGGCGTCCATTCCTCCGGCATTTTCTGGCGTCTGTTATGCGCCGTAAACAAGACGTAGCTTATTTACGGCGCATCTATGGCATTTTTTCCGCCGGTAATTTCCGGCGGATACATACGACGTAAACTTCCAGCGCGCAAAAATCAGCCGTAAATACGTCAGAAACCCAGAACTTCCATTGGATTTTACATGTTACCGGCAGATTATATCCGCCGATAATAGCGCATTTTACTGTAGTGAGTGAGGCTATTTGAAGTTGATTGACCAAGGGATGGGTTAAGCATATGGGTAGAGATATAGTTGTAAACAGTTATGTATATGGTGAGTTATCATTCTGGTGGGATGGAGAGGTTGGGTTGGAAGGTAGTTGTTGAGGTTATAAGTGTAGTGACGATTTGATGGAGTGTGGTGGGGTAAGATGAAGAGAACTGAGAAGGAGAAGATTAAGATTATGAGGGTGGTTAGTGGGCATAGTGGTAGGGGTGAGTGATGGAATGGAATATGGGAAGGTTAATTCATCAAAGGTGACATGCCTAGATATGGAGATATGTCTCAAGGTGGGATCAAGATATTTTTAGTCCTTGTAGTCGATGGCCTAGCCCATAAATACGGATGGTACAATATTTATGGAGAGTTTGTGGTGAGCATGAGGTGGAAGAAGGGGAAAACATGTGCATTCAAAGACCTTGAGGTTATTGTATGTGGGTTTGCTTTTGTAGAGAAGATGGTATGGTGATTTGTTGGAGTTGTTGGATGATGGCATTCTATTGATGAGGTAGACAACAGTAAGTAAGTGTCATGTGGTTTTGATTATATGGCGATGTTTTCTTTTGACCAAGTTATTTTGTTCAAGGGTATAATGACAATTTATTTGATGTGATATACCATGTGATTGCAAGTAGTTTTGAATATTATGATTTAGTAATTTGGTGCGACCATCACTATGTAGATGTTTAAATTTGAGAGAGAATTGGTTATCAATTGTTGTATGAAATTTAATAAATGTATAATACACATCTGATTTATGCATTAGTGGAAAAACCAAAGAAAAATAAGAAGCATCATCAACAAAAAGTATATAGTATTTGAAACATGAGTAGATGACATTGAGGTCGAACCGCATATAACGGTGTGAATGAGTTCTAGTGGTTTATAGTAATGATTAGTGGACCTAGAGAAGGGTAACTTATGGCCTTTTGAGGCCTTACATAATGAGCAGAGTATTGGAGAGAGGAAAATAGCTAAAGATCAGTTTTGTTTTGATATAGTAGTCATGACTTGTGATGACGATATCCCATGCGGTGATGCTTACGGACTGAGGTGAGATTGGATGTTAGTAATGCTTGGTGATGTGGATGTTGATGAGGAAGATTCATGATCAAAACATGCCATCATGGCATCATTCCGAGAATAGAATTGTATTTTTCTTCGGATTCTTGATAAAGAAGCCATAAGTGTCTAAAGAAATGGAAAGATTATTGTCATTATCCAGAGTTGAAATAGAGAGAAGATTGTGTGATAATTGAGGTAGATGAAATATTTTTGGAATAAGAAGCTTATGAGTTGGAGTTGGAAGAAATCCATGACCGCAGTGAGCTATGGAGAGTAATAAATCCAATAAATGAAATAAATATATTTTAAAAATATAAATATTTTCAAGAGGAGCGCTTTGGCACTAATCTATTGAGCGCCATAGTGCTAGGACATGAATTATATACACCGACTATCTCACTTTATTGCTTGGCCAGGAATAAATTGAAAGAGGGAAGAAGAGAGAGGAGAGAAAAATATCTTTCGATCATATTTTTTAATCATTCCTATTACCGATTTTGTTCAATTCATTGTAAGTGACTAATTTCTTACTTCAATTTTTAATGAATTTGATTTTTATGAATTTTATTTATCATAAATCTACAAAAATTACATTATCTCGAGATTTCCTAAGCTTACATTGTGCAAGTTTGGATATATTATAGAGTTGATCATTCTGAATCATTTGATATGATTTTATTGCATTTAAAATGATGTACTAAATAATATCATATATATGATATGATAACTCCACGTGATATCCTACTGATCCATGTGATTCACTGATTTGGAGTCATAAGGAGCTGGAGATTGGTTAGAGTTATAAGGAGTTGAGATGACTGATTCACATGATTCAAGGGGAATTATAATGAGTATATTGATTGGGGGTTATAAGGGGAGATTCATTAGTAGTTATAAGTGCAAGAGCAAGATACCCTTAAGATACACTCATTAAATATTTGAATACTAATACCGACACTGCTACGAGTACTATACCGATATCATGACTAGCATTAATATTGTTTACTGTTATTAATACTATTTAACACTATTGATCATAATACTAATATTATTATTTGCATTAATATTATTAATGGTTACTACTACTTTGACTAATAATTTAATGGATTAAGATGTAATGAACTAGAAAATGATAAATGAATACATATAATTAGTAAGAATATTGATTCATATATTTCTTTATATGAATTATAGCATATTATTTTCTTTTATATTGCATTAATTTAAATTACGAGTTAAGTTATGTGCTTGTTACGTAGTTTTACATATCTTTCAAGAAATGATAAGGATCATATAATATGAGGCTACGGACAAGACAAAAAATGTAATCATATTTCTTTCCGATGTTCATTGATAAGATATATTTAAATAGTTAAAATGAAAGACCGGTGTAATTCTTTCAATATAAATCTTGAATTATGACAAAATGGTATCACAACAATAGTTATTGGAAGAATTAAAATATAAATAGAGCTTATGAGCAAAATAAAAATATGATTTCTAATTTATAATTAGTTTATTTGAGTTTGAAATTTTATTTTGAGCATGCTCTTTCTTTCGCTCGTATCGATCTTACTTCTATTTTTAATGATTTTGATTTCTATGAATTTTATCTCTCATAAATATGTAAATATTGTATTATCTCATGATTTCAAATTATATAATCTCTTGATTTTATAAGCTTTTACTATGCCAGTTTGGATATATTATAGAATTAATCTTTATGAACGATTTGATATGATTTTATTATATTTTAAATGAAGTACTAAATAATATTAGATATATGATAAGATAACTTCATATAATACCCTACTAATTCATATATTCATTGATTGGGAGTCATAAGGAGTTGGAGATTAATTGGAAGATATAAGGCATTGGGGTGATGGATTCACGTGATTCTAGGAGAGTTATATGGAGCACATTGATTGGGAGTTATAATGGGAAACTGGTTAGGAGTTATAGTACAGGAGCATGATACCCTTATAATACATTCATTGAATATTTGAATACTGATATCGACACTTCAACGAACATTGTATTGATTGTGACTGATACTAATACTATTTACTGACATTAATACTATTTAACATTATTAATCAAGATAATAATATTGTTACTAGCATTTGTACTATTGATTGCAACTGATATTATAACTGATGATGTAATGGATTGTGATGTAATGAACTATAGAATGATAAATTGATACATATAATTAATATAGATATTAAAGCATATATTTCCTTATATTATTTATAGCATATTATTTTCTTTTATCTTGTATTAATTTCAGTTAGAAGATTTTAGTTACTTGTTGGGTTATGTGCTCATTACGTAGTTTTACATATTTTTAAGAAAGGGCAAGGATCTTATGATATGAGGCTCCGAATAAGATAAAAATTTAATCATGTTTCTTTTTGCTATTCATTGTAAGCTCTAGTTAAATGGTTAAAATGAAAGAGGGATATAATTCTTACAATATAGATCCTGGAGTGTGACATGGAGAATGTGATGTCGTCTCCAATGGCAACATTGTCAAGGCCACGATATTCCTTTGGCTGAAAGAGTTTGTCAAAGAGGTTGGTTAGGTGGGAAGAGGAACCTAAGTCGGTAGGTGTGTTGTTGGAGGTGACAAGAGCGTCCAGAGATGGAGTAGAAGTAGGGTATTATGTATTAAGACGAATCTAGCAAAGGTTGGTCGGGTGGCCTCATTTTGCACAGATCTGGCAGGTAATGCCTGGAGAGTTGTATTGCCATGTGGGGAGGTGTGGTGATAAGAACCTCGAGGCTAAGGGGGATAGTTTTGTGCAAACGGATGTTTTGGATGTCTGATATTGTAGAGGTAGTCCATTGAAGGTGTATAGGAGGATGTCTTTGCTATCGAGTGTGGAGCATGTTGCTTCAATGTTGTCAGTAAGTGTAGTGAGTTGGCCCATTGAAATGTGATGTAGTTCGTTCTTAAGTTTTATTACCCTTGAGAGGTTAGTTGCATTAGAATGATTAAGGATCCATTTGGAATGATGGTAATTTTTTATAAAGATAGTTATAAAATTGCCGTGAAAAAAAAATCTTTTTTTGAAAGTTATAGAAAGTAGCATCTTAGTACAAAAATTTTTTGAAAGCAATAAAAAAATCAATGCCCATTATAAATTAATATTACGGTCTGAAAAATAAAGTAATAAAAAAATTGTTCCAAACGAAGCTCAACTCTATTAAATGCTTGCAAGCTATTGATCTACTGCTCGGTCGTGGCACGAAGAGTAAGCACAAACCATTATACATCTCTTAACTACTATAGAGAAACTAAAACTATCAATGCAATTAAGTGTGGCTTTTCTAAAGTCAATCAAAAAACTCATTTATAGACACATGATTAAAAGTCATAAAGATCAACATATCATTAAAAGAGTATAAAAAAATGAAGAGTATAAAAACAAGTACTCAACAAAAGGAAACACTCAAAGAACTTCAAAAGCATTCGAAGCACTTGCCATAAAGAAGGAAAGAAAGGCAAAAAAGAAGAGAAGATTTTTCATCTTCAAAACTTTGAGGCATTTTGTGTGCTTCTCACTATACACATTGGAATTTAGAGTTTTGTCAATTCACACTTCCTCTCTCTCTCTTCCCCCCTCCCCCTACTTTGACCAGCTTTAACGGCGAGCTGCCGGACTTCCCCAGCCACCAAAATTCTCAAGCTTCTCTATATAAGAAAATTTCTTCTGAGTAACAACATTAGGAGGCTTCTTCAGCTTCAACTCGTCTAAACCTAAGATATCCTCAGGGCTACCAGCTGGCTTCTGCTTGTCATTTTCTAAATCTTGGTCCAAACTCCACCCCATGAAATCTGAAAGTGTAGTTGCCGTCGGTGATTCCATTAAGTCTAGCTTCTTCATCTCTTCTATAGGATCCAGTTTCTTCAGCGGCGCCCAATCTGAATCTGATAGAGAAAGCTTCCTGTTAGAGTTCTTGCTGGGATCCTGTGCAAGCTGGTCGGCAAGGAGAACATCCTCAATCATTGACATAACTGTGAAGGCCAATGTCTCCAGGATTCTTGAGTAGCTCTCAAGTACAGATTGTCCCACATCCTTAACATATAAGAATGGCATAGTGTGACTGTGTAAGAATTTGCTAAACAAATCATCTAAATGAGTTTTCAAGTTATTTAAACTAATTCATTACCTTGTTATATTGAATCTTGCTTGTGTCCAGGGCTGACTGTGGGATTCCAGGAAACCTGTGCTTCAGGAGGTGTAGTATGGTCTCAGCTCTTTCTTCAAATTTCGGGAGGGGTAATTAACTATAGGGGCTTGCGCCTATAGGAAACCAGAACTCAGATCATAAAGTCCTCATAAAATGAGGGCGAAATCTCTGGGTAGTGTCTTATCTACAAACCCATCTGCCTTCCAAAATTTACCTCGGAACTTAGCTCGTTAAAACTCCCTCGCCGAAAAAGAAAGAGCGAGTGGAGGCCGGGGCCGAATTTTCGGAGCCCACAGTTATAAGGCGTTGGGGTGATGAATTCACGTAATTCTAGGAGAGTTATATGGAGTACATTGATTGAGAGTTATAAAGGTCGACTGATTGGGAGTTATGGTACAGGAGCATGATACCCTTAAGATACACTTATTGAATATTTGAATATTGATATCGACACTTCAACAAACATTGTATTGATATTGTGACTGATACTAATACTATTTACTGACATTACTACTATTTAACATTATTGATCAAGATAATAATATTGTTACTAGCATTAGTACTATTGATTACAATTGATACTATAACTGATGATGTAATGGATTGCGAAGTAATGAACTATAGAATGATAAATTGATACATATAATTAATATAGATATTAAAGCATATATTTCTTTATATTATTTATAGCATATTATTTTTTTTATCTTGTATTGATTTCATTTATAAGATTTTAGTTACTTGATGGGCTATGTACTCATTGCGTAGTTTTACATATTTTTAAGTAAGTGTAAGGATCTTATGAAATGAGGCTCCGAACAAGATAAAAATTTAATCATGTTTCTTTTTTATATTCATTGTAAGCTCTAGTTAAATTGTTAAAATGAAATAGAGATATAATTCTTAAAATATAGATCCTGGAGTGTGACATGAAGAGTGTGATGTCGTCTCCAATGGCAACATTGTCAGGGTCATGATATTCCTTTGGCTGAAAGAGTTTATCAAAGAGGTTGGTTAGGTGGGAAGAGGAACCTAAGTTGGTAGGTGTGTTGTTGGAGGTGATAAGAGCATTCGGAGATGGAGTACAAGTAGGGTATTATGTATTAAGATGAGCTAGCAAAGGTTGGTCGGTTGGCCTCATTTTCCACAGATATGGCAGGTAATGCCTAGAGAGTTGTATTGCCATGTGGGGAGGTGTGGTGATGAGCGTCCACAACCGATAGAGGTGTTGAATTGGCCTCTTCTGCATCCATGACCGATAGAAGTGTTGAATCGGCCTCTACTGCGTCCACGACCTTGGCTAGAGTAGAGGATGGATGGATTGGTGGTTTGGAAGTGCTGTCTCTTAAGCAGATTCCATAGAGAGATTTATTTCTTCACTGATGTGGAGGTAATAAAGGACCTTGAGGCTAAGAGGGGATAGTTTTGTGCAAATGGATGTTTTGAATGTTTGATATTGTAGAGGTAGTCCATTGAAGGTGTATAGGAGGATGTCTTTGCTATCGAGTGTGGACCATGTTGCTTCAATGTTGTCAACGAGTGTTTTGACGTTGGGAAGGTACTAGATCAGATCATAGTGAGTTGGCCCATTAAAATGTGATGTAGTTCGTTCTTAAGTTTTATTACCCTTGAGAGGTTAGTTGCTTCCAGTCGACGCTCTAAGCTTAGCCAAATGTCAGAACATGTATCCAAATTGAGAAAGTAAGGAAGAATGCCGAGAGAGTGAGTGGAACATATAACTTCAACGAGATTATGGTCGATGAGTATCTAGTGATTATATGCCAGGTTGGGTCTTGAGGTGATGTCGGGTAGTTGTATGAGGCGAGAGAGTGCCTTGGCGGTGTTGTCCAGAAATCCTACATAGTGGTTAGCTCAAAAGAGCTTCAGTAGATGAGATCTCCACGTTGGATAATTATCATTTGAGAGTTGGGAGGGTACAGCAATTTTGATGTTTTAGATGAGGAACTTTAGAGATGAGGGAATGGGTGGGTGGTCAACGTGATTATCTGTGGATATGTCACCGGTGTGAGAGGAAGGAGAGTGACTCATTTGAGAAAGTAAGGCTACAAGCCAGATAGCTCTGATACCATAAAGAAAGAGCAAACCCTGTGATAAAACTTAACGCATAAAAGGAAATGACAAAAGGGAAAATAGAGTGCAGCTCAACATTTCTGTTTCTACGTTAATTAATTCAGTCATGCATTCTACTGTTGCTTTTGTGTCTTTATATAGATGTTATTGTGTGGTGTAGCTTTACACGTGAATGGTTGTGATTGATTTAAGCTGCTGGGATCCTATGGTGTTTATTTGTTCTGATGTGTGTATGACTGCTCCATTTGCCTGATATTATCATGTAATGGTTTTGCTCCAACATGCAATGTAAACATTTTAATAATAAGCATGATTAAGGATCCATTTGGGATGATGGCAATTTTTTATAAAGATAGTTATAAAATTGTTATAGAAAGTAGCATCTTAGTACAAAAATTTTTTGAAAGCAATAAAAAAATCAATGCCCATTATAAATTATTATTACGGTCTGAAAAATAAAGCAATAAAAAAATTATTCCAAACGAAGCCCAACTCTATTAAATGCTTGCAAGCTATTGATCTACTGCTCGGTCGTGGCACGAAGAGTACGCACAAACCATTATATATCTCTTAACTACAATAGAGAAACTAAAACTATCAATGCAATAAAGTGTGGCTTTTCTAAAGTCAATCAAAAAATTCATTTATAGACACATGATTAAAAGCCATAAAGATCAACATATCATTAAAAGAGTATAAAAAAATGAAGAGTATAAAATCAAGTACTCAACAAAAGGAAACACTCAAGGAACTTCAAAAGCATTCGAAGCACTTGCCATAAAGAAGGAAAGAAAGGCCAAAAAGAAGAGAAGATTTTTCATCCTCAAAACTTTGAGGCATTTTGTGTGCTTCTCACTATACACATTGGAATTTAGAGTTTTGTCAATTCACACTTCCTCTCTCTCTCTCTCTCTCTCTTCCCCCTCCCCCTACTTTGACCAGCTTTAACGGCGAGCTGCCGGACTTCCCCAGCCACCAAAATTCTCAAGCTTCTCTATATAAGAAAATTTCTTCTGAGTAACAACATTAGGAGGCTTCTTCAGCTTCAACTCGTCTAAACCTAAGATATCCTCAGGGCTACCAGCTGGCTTCTGCTTGTCATTTTCTAAATCTTGGTCCAAACTCCACCCCATGAAATCTGAAAGTGTAGTTGCCGTCGGTGATTCCATTAAGTCTAGCTTCTTCATCTCTTCTATAGGATCCAGTTTCTTCAGCGGCGCCCAATCTGAATCTGATAGAGAAAGCTTCCTGTTAGAGTTCTTGCTGGGATCCTGTGCAAGCTGGTCGGCAAGGAGAACATCCTCAATCATTGACATAACTGTGAAGGCCAATGTCTCCAGGATTCTTGAGTAGCTCTCAAGTACAGATTGTCCCACATCCTTAACACATAAGAATGACAAAGTGTTACATTGTAAGAATTTACTAAACAAAACATCTAAATGAGTTTTTCAAATTATTTAAACTATTTCATTACCTTGTTATACTGAATCTTGCTTGTGTCAAGGGCTGACTGTGGGGTTCCAGGAAACCTGTGCTTCAGGAGGTGTAGTATGGTCTCAGCTCTTTCTTCAAATTGTTCTCTCTTTTCAAAGCTGACTCCAGAGCTCCAGGATTTGCCATCCTTGTTATGCATCTTCCTCTTCCAAATAACAACGGAGGCCTCGATGCGGTTCTTTAAATCAAGAACCTTGTGCTCTGTAGACAAGTCGAGTGATGACAGGAAGTATTCAGGGTCGAAATGTTCAACCGTTATGTTGCGATAGAGCGAATCTCCAAGGCTTGCCCTTCCATTCTATGTAAAGAAGAGAGCTTTAGTTATGAAGCTTTTTGATGAATTCTTATAACATAGATTTTCAATACCTTTGGAAGTGACTCAATATAAGCTTCAGGTATCTCCATTTCCATTAGAACCTGAGCATTAATATCCATGGCTGCCTTGAGAACCTGATTTACAGATTCTTTCTGGAATTCCAGCCATTTTCTGGATACCTCAGAGAGGCCATTTGAAGGGACCTTTACAGTGGGGAGCCACCACTTGTCATCTTTTCTCAGAGCATTGCCGTTTCCTAATTCAACTGTATCACTTTCAATATACCAGAACTCATTCCGATCTTTAAAATTATCTAAATAACCCTGTTGCATATTTTAATGAGTTGAGATATAGTCAAAATTTGATCACAATAAGGAATTTCATTATCTGTAATCCACGTAAAAATGTAGTTTGAAGCTTACAAGAAGCATGGCGTCAAGTTTGCGCAATGCAGGAATGTTCAAAAGGAGATCTTTGCGTTGTTTAGCTGTCATAATCTGCGTATATACATACAAAAATGGTTAAAAGCTTTATAAAATAAGAGAGATTAAGGAAAAGAAAAAGAATTGGTTATAACCTCTATTTTGGAGCCATCCTTTCCTACTTGCTGAATAGGGACAAATTCTACAATGTGATCAGTGACAGACAAGAACCAATTAATTTCTTTCCTCCATCTGCACTTAGTTTCAGTAGACATAGGCTCCAATTTTTGTTGCTCACCAAATACAGAAGCTAAAGTAAAAGCAAATTGGTAAATATTAGGTGCATCTTCTTCTCATACAAGAATCTCATGACATTCAAAAACTTAAAAAATACTCGTAGTAGTAAGCTTTTTTATCCTTATCTTATCAAACAAATATCATCAACAACAACAACATTAAGCATTTATCCTACTACGTGGGGCCAGCTACATAAATCCTTTTTCTCCGTTGTGTTTGGTTAACAGTCAAATATTCATTTAGATCTAATAAAGAAAGGTCATTTCTAATATTTTCTAATCAAGTCTTTTTAGGTCTATCTCTACCTTTCTTAGCATAGGTTAAATCTAATACATCTACTCTCCTAACCGGAAAGGTCGCCGTTTTATGTCACCAAACCATCTAAGGGGACTCTCTGATCTTATCTGCCACTGAAGCTACACTATAAAACAAATAACATCCTTGCAAAAAAATTGACTTATTATGATTGATTTCTTGAGTGATACCACAAATACATCAGATAACAAAAAACTATTACATTGCCAGAAAATATAGAGAAAAGATTATGCCTGCAAGGTTAGTGATGGTATTGGACAAAGCTAGAGCTGATGAAACCCCTTTGCCACATCCTGACATATCTTCACCCAGAAGCAGCTTCGCGAGCTTCTCCTTCATCTGCTCCATATCTGAATAATAAAATCCCATAAATTACAATGAATTGTATAAAATTATAAAAGTTATTGGCCCAAACAAAGCCAAAATGCAGTCATATTGCTTCTTAGGAAAAAACAAAGCAAATCACTACACTTATACCAAAGCTCGCCATTACAATAGAGATCATGACTAGAATTACTACATATAAGATAAGTTCTCATAGAAATAGAATATAAACCAGAGAGCAAAATCTAAAGCAGCCGAGATTAATGTTATGCTATTAGCAAATGCCAGTCATTTGTCTTTGGCTACATCTTCAGAAATTAGTTTGGCAGATGATATTTCAATTCTATTTTAATGACATACAGATAATGGTAATCATCATTAATCATCCTACATAACAATACATTGTGCAAGTAAGATCGCTTTGGATCAAATGCACTTCATTTGACATTTAACATGTTGGGAAAGAGGCAAAAAGCAAACACAAAGAATGAAGAAAAAAAAAAGGAAAAGAAAAGAAATTAACATGCAAAAATTTTACACATATTCCACCTAATTGATAGAGAAATTATTTAGTACGGAGGCAGACCGCAGCTATGTCCGGAGGCGAATCAAGTGCAGCCACGACAGCGGTACCGAGTAGTGCTGAGCCGCGGTACACAACGAAGGGGTGATGTAGCGCATTCTAGTTAGTCTCCAGACGGCGTTCGACGTCCGCACAGAATAACTAATCTAATTTAATTGATGACCATATTCTTTTCACGCCACTGTAATTTTTACTATTAATTAGAGAGTTATAACTCTAATTTCTCTTGCATATAAAAAGATGCTTCTCCTCTTTAAAAAGAGAAAATCTAAAACAGCTGAAAAATACAATAAAATGTGCAAAATATCTTTAATGAAATGACCACAAACATTGAATATCTTAATATTGCATAATAAAATTTTTTAGTAGATTAGATTCCACAACTTAACATAAAATTGTAATCTTCATAGCATTGAGATCAAAATTACACTATTACGTAAATAACAATGAACTAAATAGAAAATATATTGCATAACCTGAGTGCTGCCCATTCAGGCCAGTGCCGCAGCGTGTGCAAGCGCTCTCCTTTCCAAACCTAGAAATAGGAATCTGGTTCTCGGATCGATCAAAACCCGACCCAACAAGTGGGCCTTCAATTCTCTGCCCCATTTTTGCTTTTTTCTCATTCTCAATAATCATGCTTCGAGTCTCCCTATCTAAAATTTCAAACATTTTCTTCTCTTCCAAGGGCTTCTGCAAGCTCTGTCTCCTCTTCAGAAATCGAACCATCAGATGCCCTAAGGCGACAAATTTTGCTCTAAGAACCCGAAGGGGCTTTTTCTCATCATTCTCATTTTGATGGAAACAGGAGCTGGTTTCTGCTATAATAAGAGGATTTGAATAGAAATCCACCTCGAAAACTGGGGGAGAAGATGGAATGGATCAAAAAGGTGGGGCCTTTAATGGGTTCTTTAATGGTGGGAAGAAATTGAGAAACCAGGGAGTGAAATAGAGAAAAGAAATTTGCGGTGAAATTTGAAAAAAAAATTTCCTTTTTGTATTAAGGTGGAGACGGAGAGAAGCAGAAAGTTCAAAGGAGATTTTTTTTTCTTATTTTTTTGGGGACAAATAGATGAACAAAAGAGAAATACTGCTGGGGTTTTAAATTGATGATCTCACGTCCTCGTATTGTGATGCGCGATAGAACGTGCACGCAGGATGTGAGAGAGAGAAGGTTTTTTTTAATGTTTATTTATTTATTTTTAGGGAGGACAACGAGGGAGTTGGCGGAATTTATGCTTGGAAAATGAAAAGTAACCAAGTTTTCAATTCATAATCCTGTTGACCATTGTAATGACCAGCAATTTTATTTAAAATCAAAAGTTACGTTACAAGAATTTATATATATATATATATATATATATTAGTCATTAGTTGATAATAAAAATGAAAATTTAATTTAATGATCCATTTGATTGGCTAAAGAAGAAATGTATTCTAAAAGGAATACACTTAAAATGAATATTTTGGAGTTGTTTAGATGAGTGTAAAATAAATTCATTTGAATTACTTTTTTGTAGATTTGAAACAAAATGAATATAATGTAACAGTGGTAGCTAGAGGATGATAGAGGTGGTCAGTGGCTGTTGGAGATGGTCAAACAGGATTTCTTGCGGTATAAACCATTGTCGCTCAAAACTGGGCGAGTTTGGTTTATCTTAAAAATGAACTAGAATAGTTTACAATACTTTTGCTATACTTTGCATTTTTTTATCTTGAGAGTGTATAAAATATAGACTTATGTCTACACAGAGTGGACTGCCCACCTCATAACTTAAACGAAATTCAATGCATTATGAATACAATAAATATATCTCTTTATTTAATTAGAATCATGATTTTAGTTTAGAATTTAATAAGGACTCTTTAAAATGCAAATGAACCTAATTAACTAGAACAACCCATGATGTATGATTTATGAAGCAATATATTAATAAAAAGTTTATTTATTTATTTACAATGAAATGTAAAGTACGAAATACGGTTCAGTGTAAAAGAAAAGGTGGCCAAGCTCTACCATAACAAACTTAGATTTTGACTTCTATATAATACATTATTAAATATGATTATTTACTTTACTATTCAAATCTTTTAGCTCCTAGATCTTCTATAGAATTTCTAAAGACAATGATCGATCTTCAAAAGAAGATGAATCATTTTCCTTTAGAATCTACAAGTGTATATATAAGCACCCATTTTTAAATCTTTTAAAACTCTTTACATTTTTATAAATCAATATGTATGCTACAACAATCTACAACTTTATATTTATATTTGAGCCTATGTACATTCTACTTTAACTATGACAGCAAAGAATAAGATGCCTTTGAATATAAATGGGTACAATGCATGTATATGCAACCTAAAAAAAAATTAAGGAGCACAAACAAGAAAAGAAAGCATAAATGACATACAAAGTACAAAATGTTGTGGCTTGGATGGGTCCTAGGTTTATTTGTATTTAAAGTTATCAATAATTTACATTTATTTATTTTAAAGTCAATGGATATTTAATTTAAATATAAGTCTTAATTTTTTTTATTTTTTAAATTATAATAATGTTTTAATTATTTAAGTTGTTTTAATTTTAAATTTTAAATTTTAAATAACCATATTAATTAATGACTTCAAAATCCATAAGTCACTAATTGCCAAGTCCTAAGGCTTATAATTGTAATGCATTTGTTTCCCTCCAAAGAGATAGACATATTACATAGAGTCCTTTCATTAAAAAAATTTATTTAATGATTTATTAATAGTTATTATAAAAAAACCATATTAACTAACAACTTTAAAAAGTCTTCAAGTTATTAATTATTAATGCCTAGACTTATAAATTTAATGCTTTTGATTTTGTTTCCCTCTTAAAGGGATAGGGCAAGAATATAGCAAATGATAGAGCAAAAAGTAAGTAGAGATGGAGGAGAGAAAAGGTTTGAGGAGAGAGAAAGGGATCTGTTGGAATTTGAATAGTTCAAATTAAGTGAGTTTTTAGCGGGGAACAAATATGTCGAGGAATGGCCGCAGGCCATTTGTCACTAATGGTGAAAGGGGTTTGGTGTGGTTCGTGGGGGTCTAAAAGGTTCATAACTGGAGCTAGGGATTGGGGTCTCACTATAACAAAATCATTAATTACCGGTGGCTTTTTCCGGCAGAAAGTGTAATTTTCTGACGATTTTGAACTTTACTGGTGGTAAATTTTTCGCCGGTAAAACACGCACCGAAAAATTTTTTCCAGCGGCCTTTTCTGGCGGTAAAATATACCGGCGTCTTTCCAATGCTCTTTGGCCGCCGGATAATTCAAAAAAAAATCTTTGGTCGACTGGGCGACTGTCCGGTAATCTTTGGCCGTCACTGACCTCCCGACTACCCGCTGATCGCCGAGCTACCTGTTAAAATACTATTGAAATGAAAATAAAATTTTAAAATAAATTAAAATTTAAATAATAATTTTAAATTGAAATCTTTAATTAAGGAAAAAGTTAACTTAAATTAGTTAATATAATTTTTATTCTTTTTTTATTAAATCATTTAAATAACTAAATTTTTTAACATTTCATTTAAATTATTTAAAAGCCGCCGGAAATCTAGAAAAGCCGCCGGAAACTCAGCCGGAAAATTGACCGCCGGAAATCCGTCGGAAAATTGCCGAAAAACCGCCAGAAAATTGACCGCCGGAAAGCCGCCGAAAAATTCCGCCGATAATAGGTAATTTTCCTGTAGTGTCTCTCCTGTTGGTGGTGGAAATGGTAGTGGTAAGATGGGTGTTGGAGGAGGTTTGTTGGGTGGCTCTATGAATGACATTTTGATTTTGGAATATGGGATGGCATGATAATTTCTGTTGAAGGTAAAGGAAAGAAGGTTGTGGCTGATGATTATCATGCTGAGTGAGGGGTAGAAAGCATCTCTGATGAGAAGGCTCTTCTAAAAGGTAATTTCAATATTGGCTATTTGTTTGGAGTTGCTTTGGGTTCTGGAGTGTACGAGGAGGAGAAACTTGGTTTCTCTCTTTTAATGATTTGTCAAATGTTAGTAGGGTATCAATAACAACAAAAACTCTTTAACTATTAAGATATTATCCTCTTTGACCTAAGGCCTAGGGTCTCACAGTTTTGTTTTGTTGGTTTAACTTTCCAGTTGGTCACCCATCCCAAGATTTCTCCAGTATGAGCATGCTTAAGTATAAAGTTTCTTAATATAATTTTGACCATTACACCAAAAGATGCTCTGATGTTTAAGAGTTTAAGTTTTTTTTACTTAAGGAGTTTCACAGTAACTGACGTGAGTCATGCATTATCTCAAGAAGAAAAAATCGATGTTTGGAACTTCAGCAAAGGATGGAATTCTTAGGAAAATTATGGAAATTCCTAGTACTAATGGTGCTGAGGGGGAATTCCCTTAACCTGCATGCAAGATGCTCTAAACAATGCCTATGGAGTCGAAGATAATAGAATTAATGAAGGAAGGATGGAAAGAATTAAGAATAAAATGTCCCCGGTGCAACCAATATATATCATACTCTATATTAATTTAATGTGAAGCACTCATTCACATATATTATTTTGATATATTAAGCATATTTTTTTAGTATAACAAATTCAGATTTTTAGTTCCACATAGACTTTTAGTTCTCCACTATAATTTTATTGAATCAACTTAATTTTCTATTTGTTCATCACATAATTTATCCTATAAAAGACTAATTATGCTAACTTTAATATTTAAAAATTAAAAAGAGATCATTTGAATTTAATAATCTTTCATTATTTAATTTTTAAAAAAAAATTATTTTGCTATGCATTAGGTTTTATTCATAATAATTTAGTTACTATCCTACACTTCACTAAATTTATATCAATATAATGGCCACATTTATATGAAGGCAAAATTGCTTAATTTTTTATTTGATTTCTTATTTAGTAATTTTGCCAATCTTCTTATATCTCAATGCTTCAAAAAAAAAAAAAAAAATAGTTTAGTGGACATATAAATGTGAAGGAAATCTTTAGCAAAATTTTAGATGATTAGGATAAAGAAAAAGATAATTTTATTTTATATTGGCGTTTGAATTTAAGAAAACATTAAAAATAATGTTAAATAAATTATGTTAATTTTGATTGAAAATTAGATATATATAATTTGTATTATATTTAAATGCAATATTACAATTTCAAATCATTATTTTTTTTCTTAAAAAAATCAATTATATTTAATCAAAGCTCAAGTATGACTTAAAATTATAAATATATTCAATCAATCTATAATTTATAAATTATGCCTAAAATTCATAAATTTTATTTTTAATTTACTTGAATAGCCTGTTAGTCATATTCAATTAAGAACACCTTTGACTCCTATGATATATCAATTTATTTTAAATCTAAAGATTTTCAACACCAATCTCTCGCTCAACGCAGCTAGGATAAATTTCTCTAGATCCAACATTAATATCTATATTTGCTTGATCTTGTGTCCATTTTATATTTTTTCTCACTATTAACCCACTCAATAAAAATTTAAAATTAATTATTATCCTTAACAACATACTTATCAAGTTCATTTACGATCATAATATATAGAAATAGAGACCATAAAATCATGAGTCATAAAAAATTAAAATAGACAAAGAGAGGTATTAAGAACTTTTGTTGTCTTCAATACTTTTTTGCTTTTCTGAGAGATCCAAAGTTTTCACAAGATGCATGCATGAGATCTAATAACTAGTCTCCAACCTAACATGGGAGCCTTGTGATTTCATCAAGTCAACTCCTCATGACTCTTGTCTCTTTTATAGGCCCAGCTTCTTAGGACTAATTACAAAATTAGGCCTCAAGATTTCATCTTTACTAACAAAATAATAAGAAATATACTTTGTTATATATATATACACATTATAGGGGTGTTGGTCAAGATATCTACTTTGATTTCTTTTTTCTTTCCATAAACAAATGAGAATATAGTTATCTTAATAGCTCTAATGGAAGTATGATTAAAGCTTTTAACTTAAAACATTCTTTAAATAAAGAAAGGAAAAAATTTTAATTGTCATTGTTCTTCAAGGGCTCTTTGGTCTTCCTCCAATGGCATCTTCTTTTCATGATACATGCCCTCTTCTTCTTGAGAACTTGTGACTCATACTCTTTTACTTAGCTTTTTTTTTTCTTCTTCATTATATTATTGGTAACCGCACCTTTAGCATTTGGGGAAAGAATCAACAAAGAGATGATTGAGCTCTTCTCTTCATGCTCAGATGCATAAGATTCAAGAAATCAGGCAAGTCTACCTATATTCTATCGATAATTTGATACTTTTATCTTGCATGAATTTATATGCAAGGTTTTTACATTTTTTCTATCTCTAGATCTTAAGTTTTATTTGGGACAGCTTTTTTGCTGCTTTTTAAAAGTACATTTCTAGTATAAAAATTTTTTGAATTAGAAAATTTTGTACTATAAAATCATTTTAGAAAATAGTAAGAAAGATGTCCCAAACAAATAATAAAGCCTTAATATGATCCCCAAAATCCAAACAATTATGAGTCAAAAACACAATCCACTGCTTAAGTTGTGCTGATCTATAGGTAACTGCAAAGATCATTACATTTTCCTGCAATAATCATTCATTAAAGTTATTCAATGTTAATTTTATTTTTTTTAATAAGCAGTCATATATGACCTCCTTCTTTAAAAGAGAACTTTGCTTTTCCCTTTCTTAGATCCTTCTAAATAGCAGCAATCAAAGTTCATATTCATAAACAATGGTCATAAGTTTGAGCTAGTATCATTTTTCACCTACTTTTGACAAACTAGTCACTTGTTCCTACATTGTTCCTACATGAAACCTAGGTTTCGTTTGCGTCTGTTTTCTAAAGAACTTTTTTGTAAAAAAAATTTTTGAATTAAAAATTCTTTACTAAAAAATTGCTTTAGAAAATAATAAAAAAGTTGCTCCAAATGAAATCTTAATTTGTAATTGATCTAATGCCTACTTAGTTATACCTAGTTTTATATGTACTTCAAAGTAATAAAATAATTGTGATGATTTCTATTCTTACTAGAAAAAAATTCTTCTAAATATATAGGAAAATCTAATTAGCCAAATTCATGGATGACTTGATTATATTATGTTTGTTGAGTCTGATCTTATATACCTACTCAAGTTTTAAGCTGCGTTTGGAACAACTTTCTTATTACTTTCCTAAGCAATTTTTTATTAGTATGAAAAGTTCTTGAACTAAAAATATTGTTACTAAAAAAATTGTTTTAGAAAGTAAAAGAAAGCAGTTTCAAATGAAGCCTAAGACTTGCGTTATGAAAATTTTGTTTATCCAACTTGATCTATTGAAATCGTTAGGCTTAGGCTTTGCTTGAGAAGGCTTTTCTACTGCTTTCTAAAGTAGCTTCCTAATATAAAAATTTTTAATTCAAAAAATTCTTTTATTAACAAGCCGCTCTAGAAAGTAATAAGAAAGCTGTTCCAAACAAAGCCTTAAAAATCCTTTAACTTGACCTGCAGAATCTTTGTTAGTTGAAGAGAACATCTACTCCAGTTGAGTCTATATACCAATATTTTATGTGTTAGTCCAATGGAACTGAATCAGAATACTAAATTTATATCTTGGTCTTTGCAGTTCAGTACATCTGAGTAATATGCCTCACAACAATCTAAGGCTCAAGACTTAAAATCTCCAATTCAGATGAAAAAGAAATCTTAAAACAAGTACAAACAGAAAGGGAAGAACTTCTCACATTCATTTGATAGAAGGAAGATCAAAATACCATGGACATCAGGGAGAGAAGTGATTTACACCTCTTGAGAATCTCTCGTGGCGCTCATGATCTAACCCAAGTGATTAACTCATGGTCCAAGACCTCAGCTCGTCGCACTGAATCAACACAAATGGCTAATGAGCTTCTCAGAGGCTCTCTGGAGCTTCAACAGTCATTACAAATGCTTTCAAGGCTTCAGAAGGCCTCAAGAAGGATGTGTAAGAAAAACATTAGACAAAGAGGAAGAGAGGAAGATGAAGAAGATTACTTTTTCATGGAAACAAGTTCGAAGAGTTATGGGAGTTCTTGCTACAAGTTGCAGGAACCAAGACTCTCAGTTGATTTTTCGACAAATTCGGTGGAAGAGTTGAAGCAAGTGATCAGAGATAGGCTTTGCAAGCAGAACCATCTGACATTAAAATCTGATGATGAGAAGGCTTTTTCAGACTCAGGTTTGAAGTTCACAGGCCGAAAAATCAATTTCAGTTCACAAATAAAGAAGATGAAAGCTCCAAATTTGATTGCAAAGCTTATGGGATTAGAACAATTTCCATCAGGAAGTAAAGATCGCCAAGAAATAAAACAAGTGGATTGGATGAAAGAACAACCTGAGCAAAAATCACTGGAAGAGATCATTGAAACAATGAGATTCAAAGGTTTTCTGAAGAATGATTATTCTAAGAGAAACAAAATTCAATCAGATATGCATGGAATCAATTTTGATCAGGATGATGAGGTCCTTCCCATCGTGATCTTGAAATCTGTGAATTTACCTCCTTGGGATAGGGAGGAGATCAATTTAGCTTCAATAAAAATATCAGAAAGGGAGAAGACAACATTAGCTGAGTTGATTTTGGAAGAAAAAACTTCTGATCATGATTATATGCCAGTGAAGAGAAAGTTCAAGTACAATACTGAACCAATCCAGAATTTGAGCATCAATGTTGATCAATATAACAAGCAGCAAAAGAAGGTTAATATGGAAACTAAAAGGATTGTGGATAGAAAAAACTCAGTAAATAAGGTAAAGAGATTTGTAGAGTTGAAGCAAGTGACAGCCATTGAAGCACCAATAAACACAACTACCGTGGATTCAACAAATTCTGAAAAAGGAAAACTCGGAGTAAAGTTTAGCACCAAAACATATAAAAGCATCAAGCAAAACAACAAAGACAACTTCTCGGCAAATTCGAGGGCTCTAAAATCTAACAGTATAGAGCAAAAAACAAGAGAAAAACCTGTCAGAAATTCTTTGACAGAAACAAAGGTAAATGAAGATAATACTATTCCAAAGTTCTTCCATTTTCTAACAGTCAGATCTAGGCAACGAAAATAAAGATAGTGTTATTAGATTGTTAATAATGCTCTATATGTAGACTGATACAATGCTTTTGCCACGATATTTATTTTCTGTTTTGGAACTGAAACTCGTCCAGAAATTTGAAGATGGAAAATTGAGAAGTTCTGGAACTGAAACTCGTTCAATTTGTACAAGCAACAGCTTGTTGATCACCGATGGCCCCCTAACTCAGGAAAAGAAGGAAACAATCATATTTGTTGGCAAAGGTAAACTACAAATGATACACTTCTATGTACATTGCATTTTTATGCCAAGAGAATAAACCAAATGATCAAAACACTAGCATGGTTGATAACAATGCAATTTAGGCTTTGTTTGGGATGGCTTTTTTCCTACTTCTTAAAGCAGCTTTTAATACAATAAATTTTATTTTTGTACTAAAATGCTGCTTTAAGAAGCAGAAAGAAAGTCGTCCCAAACATAGCCTTAATTTGTCGAACAATTCAAACCTTTTTTATTATAACTATTTTGGTCATTTGATTCACATTCTCGACATAAAAATGCATATGGAGCTCCTAACATAATTTATATCCTTCTATTAATATAGCACACAGAAGACTTAACAGAAACCAACCAATTACTCTTCCTCTTGGAAGGACAACTTATTACTATTCTCTTATCACAGATGAGATCAAAAAAGACCACAAGATAGTTTGTGAAGTGATGCCAAGGACTAAACAAGCTCGAAGTAACTCAAGACTAAACAAACAATCAACCAAGGTTTTCAACAATGAACCAACAACAAATCCAGCAGCTCAATCTCGAAATCTTTTCAAACATCAACTCTTGAGCAGCAAATCCTTCCATGACTATGCTGGTGATCTCTTCGGAATCGATGCTGGCATACCTATACACTGTCAAGCAAAAAACTCAGAGGTTCTACAAGTTGGTGATGAACAGTTGCTGCTTGATTGTGCAAAGGAGCTAATGGCGCTCAAAAGCCAAGAGAGTAAGCTCTCAATCAATCAAATGCTTCAGCCACATCAAAGAAAAAGATCAAGGTTTCTCTCTTTCAACAACTTGTTGGAAGAAATTAGTAATGAGATTGAAGAATTGGCAAGTTATAGTGAGAATGGAGATGGCATTATTGCTAAAAATAGTCTTTACATCATCTTGGAGAAGGATCTTAATGCTACATGGGATGTTGGAAGGAACAACTGGGTTGGTCTTGAAGAGGCTGATGCAGTTGCTGCTGGAGTGGAGACTCAAATCATCTCTAAGCTTATTATGGAGGTTGTCATGGATTTAGTTGTTTAGAGTAGAATGACTTCTATGCAACAGCCACATAGTTGGGGAAAGGCAAATTATGACAGATAAAATTCATAAATTATCGGAAAGCATGAAAAAATAAGTATATATTTTATACTAGTCATAATGATTGTACTTTGGTATTTACCATTTATCTGAAACAAAAGGAATAAAAGTTTATAATCACGTCTATTTTGAGCATTGATTATAATATTGGAGACATTTGTTACATTTATCGTTGCATTATAGAAATAATTTCAATTGAAAGAGCTCTCATTATATTATAAATAAATGCATCTCACACAAAATTAAAGACAAATTAGGTATATATATATTTTTTTTACTTTAAAAACTCAAAAAAAGAATAAAATCATAGGTTCTGCCCAATTGAAACAATGTAGCATTAACAATTGAAAATTAAAAAAAGATAATCCTTTCTCAATCTTAAATAATTAATAATAAGTTATTAATAACTAGGAGCCTTCATACCTTATGTTAGACCCCATTTGGAGAACATAAGTCATGAATTGAATTTTAAGACTTAAGGACTAAAACACCTAATTAAAATTTAAGAATTTTGAGAAATAATAATCAACCAACCTTAACACTTAAAATTCATCTAAAAATGAATATTAAAGTATTATGTCTTAAACTCAAATTTAATCACATTTAGCCTAAAAACAAATAAAAGTAAAGCATTAAAAAATTTCAAACAACAATCAACGTAGGGTATATCCAAACCACTCAGCCTGATACACACACTATAGATTGCTTGTTATGACAACCAACTTTAGTCTTAGGCTAGGCCGTTGTTCTTTCATGTGTTTTTTTGTGACGTAGATTTGATGCAAAATTTTATCCATGCTGATTATTATGGTTTTGATGTGATTTGTGATGTTTATGATACAATGCTTTTGTCAAGATATTTATGATATAATATGTGATAGGCGCTAGATCTTCCTAGATTAGAAATTATATGAATGCTAATATATCTTCTACAGGTAACCATACTAATACAGGACTATAAAAGGGGGGCTAATTAATTAAAATGTGATTAACACATTTCTTGGAGATGCTCTAATTGTCAAACCCCCCATAATTTAAAAGTTTGGCCAAGTGAATGTGTTGGCTCAAAACTGAGCAATTGATTATATATAAATACTCGGGATTTTTTTTTATTTTCTATAAATTACTTAGAATAACATGCAGGTTGTATAGAGTTTTTTAATTTTCCTAAATGTAAACTTAAATGGAGTTGTGAAAGTTAATTGAAGTGGAATATTTGGTATCTAATTTGGAATCCAAAGAGGAAGGAAACATCCTTTAAGGGAGAGTTCCTTTCATTTGGAGATTCAAAGCTGGATAATTTGAAATTCAAAGGGAAATGAAACATCCCTTTAGAGAGGAGTTTTTTTTCATTTAGATGTTCGGACTTGACAGATCTAAGGAGCCCGAAGAAAGGATCTAAAGAGATGAAGATAAAGGAAATATTCAACTTTAAACTTGTGTCATCAATATGAAATTCTGAGATGTTGTTAGTGGAGCCCAACCACTTTAATTTATGCATACCCTATTTTGTTATTAAGCTGTACTTGCCACATGGCCTTGCATATTTGATTAATATGGTTTGATGCTTTTTTATTCTATTTAAATTAGATGCTTTAGAAATTACCTTTTTTTTCAAGATTTATTATCTGCATGTGATTTTATTTTAGCTTGGAATACAATTAGACTCCTAAGGACAATAAAATTTTTCTACTTGCAACTAAATAAAAAAAATTTAGGTTCGCATAGAAAGATATACATTTCAAAGAGGTAAGTATTGGCTCACAAGGAGTTTTTCATGTATACGTATCTATCTTCTCTTCTTAGTAGGTACCTTCCCACCTGCAGGTCGTGACAGACCACCTGACCTAGTAGCTATGGTGTAGTTCTATCTAGGGGATATTGTGCATCTCTAGGGAAAAAAACTATTTTTATGCCTATTTTTAAAGTTCAAAGCACTTTATTTTTTGCATAAAAGGTTAATTTATATATATTATATTAAAAACAAATAAAAACTAATTAAGATTTAATTGCATCGAGCATAATCACACCATACATAAGTAAAGGGACTTAAGAATTTCTTTAAATATCATGCTTGATTTCTAAAAAACATAAATAACTGCCCTTACCTATCTTTCATAAAATTATAGTTATGGTTTTAAAGCACCAGGTGGTTTAGCTGGCTTTCTAATCCAGGTACAAGGTATTCTAGTTATGTTCAAGTCGTTATTGTGTAATGATCTAAATTTTTACCTCTTGAGGTGATATATCATTTATAATGTTATCTTCCATTTAAAAGTTAAAATATCGGAAAGTCTATATTTAAAATGTTTCCAAAAATATAATTACAATTGGTTTATTCATTCCCAAAAGTTTACAAAAAGCAGGTTGTAACATTTATATTTACATTGCTCTAGGTTGGTTTGAACCTGGTTTAGTAAATCCCTCATGTGTAAATTCTCACCATTTATATTTTTTAAGTTCTTTTGAATATTCTATATAACACTATCATTGTCAAGTCCTAAGACCTAGATGAGAAAAATGGAGGGTTACATTAGGTAGTCGATAACCGGCATAAAGCTTATCAAATAATCATGACATGAATCCCTTAATATATTGTGTTAATGATAGGACATTCCCTAAAAGAGATGTGTTGTACGCTCTGAATATAGCTAGAACTAGAAATGTACAAGGGTCACTGCACTAAATCCCGGGTGACTGCACTAAATCCCGGGTGTAGTATTAAATAAGCAAGGGTTCCCACATCATGGGCAGATGTGGGAAGAGAAGATAGTCCATGAAATTAGGTTCATAATAGAAGCTTGGAATATAAGTTCTCTTATAAGATAATTAATGGAATTAATAAATATTACGATTTATAGGAAGATATATATTAATTCTATACATTCAAGAAATTAAATGGGTTATTGGAGAGAAACCTAAGGAGATTGATAGTTTATGATTTAAAGTATGGTATTTGGGTATGTGTCATTCTAGAAATGGTGTACATATGATTATAGATAAGAGTTTATAGGGATAATGTTGTAAAATAAAATGAATTGAAGGTAATAATTATCTCTTTAAAGATTGATGTTGATGCTAAAATTATTAATATTATAAGTACTTATGCTCCGCAAGTTGGTATAAATATGTGCTCAAAATTAAAATTTAAAAATAACTTAGAAGAATTAATAAAAAAACACCTCTTAAAGAAAGAGTTTGAGTACCGTCATCTATTCACACCCTCTAAGTGTCGACAGAGTACCGTCGTCCTTTCACACTCTCCAAGTGTTGGCAGAGAATCAGCGTCATTTCATACTCTCCAAGTGTTGACAGAGAACCGATGTTCTTTCACACTCTCCATGTATCGGTAGAGAACCATATCTTATTCAAAGATCTTCCTTCGAGTGTCTTCAAAGAAGGAAAAGATTTACAAAAAATATAAAGAGATTCTCATCTTTGGGTAACCTTGTAAACCCTTCACACTCTCTATTTGTTAGAAATCTCTCACAAACATTCTCCCAAATAATTCTCACACTTTTTCTCTCTAGAAAAATGAAGAAGGACCATTTTCAAAGTTAGTTTAAATGGCCTTATATATGAAAGGCACGAAAAATCATTCAGAAAATTGAAAATTTCAATTTTGAAAATCAACGATACAGTACGATCGACGATCGTACATACGAACAATTAAAAAATTGCTCGTACGATCCTGCACGAAAAAATTTATACATGTGGATCGTATAGTACGAATATATATCGTACGATACGAATTGTTAAGAAAATTTTCAAGCTTCGTCAAGAAGAAAAGATACCCCATAAATTTGTAGTATGGGCATCCTCTGTACGAACATGAGATCGTACAGTATGAACAGTTTAGAAAAATTTGGTGTTCATCATGATGAAAAGAGACCGAAACTTTTTGTACTCTGGATGTCGTCTGTATGAATATGATATTATACAGTACGAACCATTCATAAAATTTTGGCATTCGTTGGGATGAAAAGAGACCCAATCTTTTTGTACTATAGACATTGTCTGTACGAAGTGGACTTCGTATGGTATGATTAGTTCATAAAAAATTTGATGATCATTGGGACGAACTTGTATGTATCTATTTCATACTCTAGATGTCGTTTGTACGAATATGACTTCGTACAATACGAACAAGACTTAGGAAATTTTCTTCACATGGTTAGATTAACTACTTTATGGAGAAATAACTGGACAAATTGTCCCGTACAATTATAAATCGTACAATACAATTAGTTTAAAATTTTACATGTTTTAACTTTCTCCCAATGTGCATGTGTGCATAGTTACCCAATTACAATCACACTCTCAAACTCAATAAAAGTGTAAAATACAGACTCCATTTACAATACATCATAATTTAATCTGACTTGAAATTTTCAAGTGTCTGGAGTATAATTTCTCTGAAACGTTAGTACACACAAAAAATAAAAGCAATATAACCAATATATGTTAGGAGAAAATAGTAATCAAACAATAATATTTGGAATCAACAAAAACACACATGATACGAAAACATAATTATGAAAACTAAGTTGCAACAAAAACTTCATAAAATTTGAGAAAATTTCATTTTTTCTAGAATTTTTCATTTATTAGAAATAAAAAATTAAAATTAGGGGATAGGGTTAAAATTTTACTTGGAGCTCTAAAATTTCTTGAATTGGCTCAGGGGATAAATCTCGAACCTTGGCCTCCAAATCCCTTCCCTCTCTTTTCTTTCTTCTTTTCCTTCTTCTCCTCTTCCCTTCTCCGACAAGCTTGGGGTGGTGGGTGAAGTATGAAGTGAATTGAGATATTTTAATATTAAGATTTCCCCTATTTTGAATTAGCACCGCGACGCCTAACTTCCTTAATGTTCTAAAAATCTTTTAGATACTCCCAAAATATGCTCACTTGAGACCCAAAGCAACGACGGTGCTTTCCTGTACCGGAGAATTACCTAATCTTATGTATTTTGCCCAAAAATAAAGAGCTTAATGTCAGGGTATTGTATCCCCCAGTGCCACGGCGCATATAAAAAAAATTAAGCATGAATTTTTCACATTATTAACCCCAAACCTTGCTTATTTTCTACTTGATTCAATATTCTAAGACTCATAAGAACTAATTAA